TGCAATAGTAATTGAGGTTTAACAATGGACTTGTTCAAAATTTATGTGCTTTGTATGGATCCATGGAATATTTTATTGCAATAAAGCTTATCCTTGTTTTAATCTTGCTATAGATTGATCTTTTCAAGTATGATTGTATAGAGATAATAAAAAAAGAAAGCCCTTGGATTGCACACTAGACCACCACTGACCAGTAATAAGATCTTTGTGGACTAATCCAAGGTTTTGTTGGAATTTAGTCTCTAAAGTCTAGTTCTTTGAAGCTATGAAGAATGCAATGTAACAATATATAGGATATGTTTTGGTAGCATTGAATCTTTTTGACATCTTCTCATTTAAAATATGTAATATTTTTTCTTAGCATAACTTACTTTTATTTAATATCATTTTAATGTATAGATCTATTTCACTAATTTTTGTCTTTCTAAAATTGATATTTCTTATAATATTGATGGTTATATTTAATTTTCTATAAGAAGAAGTTGAATGCATAAGCTATATTTATGAATCTTCAAGGCTAAATTTTAGCAATATTTCTTGTATTTTTAGTATCAATTACTAGTTCTTCCATATAAACTACAATGCAATCAATACATGCTTTCATAAGACTATTGAGATTTATTATTATTTATTTTATTATTTAAAAATACGAATTATTATTTATATTTTTTTCTCAAGAAAAATCTTTATCAATTTGACACAATTTTTTTTTTTTTTTGAAGAAATACTTTTTTATTTTGTTTTTCTATTTTTTATTTTATTTTTTATTTTATTTATTGTTGTTGGTATTGATACTTTAGCAAGTATTCTTTTAAGCTTAGATATAATTTGGTTTTTAACTTTGAATTTTACAATGGTTTCTAATTAAGTATAAAATAAGCGTGAAATTCAGATATTGTTGCAAAGTTAGAATAGAAACATTGAGACTGTTTTTAGTAATTTAAGTTAATTTGGAATACTACTTGTGAGGAAATGCATATACATCTTTAAAAAGAGTTTCTTTTTCTTTTTTATTGAAATATTTTTGAACATTCTTCTATTGCATTTTAGACTTAAGACTGTCTCAATTTCTTATACATTCTTAAACAAAAACTTAAGTCACTCTCAATTTCTTTCTACTTTAGTTTATAGCCTTTAATGTAGTATGAATCTTTTTATCTTTGTATTTCTTATAGATGTAAATTCTTTTATCTATGATAGAATTAAAAATTTCTATAAAACAATCATAAAAAATTTAAAAAGAATTTTTTGATAATACTTCTAATTTCCTTTAATAATTTCAATTTTAGACATAATCCAAGCTCACACATAGTTTGGTATCAAGCATATGCCTCTTTTTCATTACAATGATGAAATGTTTTTATTTTTATAATAAATAATCTAAGAATCTTATTTGTATAGTATCTTAGTTTTCAAAAATTACTAAAATAAAAAAATAATATAAATTTAATAAATATTTTATCTTCAAAAAATATACTTATATATAAATAAAATTTTAATTCTTTCTATTATTTTTTTAATGTAATTATACAATTATCATCTAAAATCTTTATTATTATTTATTTCTACATCCGCTAATAAAATTATAAATATTATTTTGATTTGTAAAAATTAAATTTTTAATACATAAATCATAAAAACTATTATTTGAGTAATCTATCTATTCTAATTTAATCTTTTTACATACCAAACGTTATGAGGCTTAACTTCTTATAGAACTTGAATCTATATACAAACAAAAAAAATTAACATAAATCTTAGCAATATGTTTCAAATGCATGAAGTGATTAAGAAATTTGTTTATATAAGATTGACCTAAGAAGCTAGAATTGGCAAATTTGACATTATAAGTTATAGTTAATCTATTACTTTTTTTATTCCTTTTATCATATATATATATATATATATTACTATCCAAATTTAATTACAATAATAAATTTAATAGTACTTATTTCTAATTATATAAAATCTATCACCCTAAACCCTAAACCCTAAAACCCTAAAATCCTAAATCCTAAACTTGGTTGCAAGTTAAGATATGTGTCTTATAAAGTCAACATGTTTTGGAGGTTCTATAGTATATCGCCGCATAATTCCTAGTTAAGAGTATATATGGAAGCAAGAGTGAAGCCTTCTTTATTCTTGTCAATGCCTTTCTAGTCTTTCATCTTGTTTTAAGACTTTCTAATCTGCTTGTTTTTTGTAATAGCCATTCTAATTTAATATTATATCATCTTTGAATATTTTTTTAGTTCTTTTTAGTGACATAGAGTATATTAAGGATTTTCTTTCTTTAAGATTCATGTCCTTGACATATCTTTAAGCAATCCATGATAGTGATAGATGTTATCAAGGAAAAACTTAGATATTTCTTTACATATAATAGATTTGATACATGATTCAAAATGTGCCATCTTAGTAAAGCAATCTATTTTTATAAATATAGAATTATACAAACTTAAAATTTGAAGATCTATGATAAATCCATAGAAATAGAATACTATGGTTGTTTTGAAATAGATAATAGCTAAAGAAGTTTGTAAGGTCAATAATAAGGAGTTTTTGATCTTGAAAAAAATGTCACATGATTGTACAAAGTCTTTAACTATCTTTTACATTTGAGGCCACAAAAAATCTCTAGATATTAGTCCTAAAATCTTATTGTATCCAAAATTTTGGTTGTTGGAAAGTTGTGACAAGCTTGAAAAACATGTAACCATGTTTTATCTTTTGAAATCTATAATTATTACTAAAAATAGAATATATTATTTTTGAATATGAATTTTGATGAATCATGAGACTTAAAAGAATTATTCTTGATATTATAAATAAAAAGATTAGGTGATATAAAAGATTGAACTTACTTAGAAAAGTTGAATCAACAATAAATGTTGATTTCATTGCCCAAAGATGAAAATGTTCTAGTTTCAAGAAAATCACTCTTTATTGTTCAAAAGTTCTATTTCCTTTTTTAATGTAATATAAGAATTTTTAGAAAGGAAGTTAATTTTTTAACCAAGTTTCTAACCTATCAAACAACTACAAACATATGTAAGGTCAAAGCCAAGTTTATGAAGCTTCTAAGAAGCTATTCTAAAAGACAATATGAAATCAATCTATTTTTACCTACTTTTACTTAATTATATAGATAATTCTTGGAATAAATATGTATTTCTATGATAAAGACAAAGCACAACACCAAAGGCAAAGTATTGCATAAGAGAGAGATAGAAGGTTTTACAAGATTGAATCTAGATTTATCTTCAAATTTTTCTTAAATTAAAAGAATTAATATTTTTTTGTGGAAGTCAAGAAATCATGTAATTTCTATAATTATAAAATAATGAAGATTAGGATAATAAAAAATGTATTTGGTTTTTATTAGTTACAAATCTAGTAGTAGATAAATGAATTTAGAAGTCATTTTTAAGATGGATAAATCAATTTAATAAAATCCTAAGTCATTTTATTATAAATATATATATATATATATATATATATAAATATAAGCACATCAATAGAAACTTATGCTATTGGCTACAAAATAGTATAACAATTTAATTTGTATAAAAGTGTAAAATAAAGAAAGACCTTATATCTATATATCTCTTTTTATTATGTTTAAACATCTTTTTATAATGACTTAATTTTGTTACTAAATCTTCTACAAATATCTTTTATCAGTATCTGCATCTAGTTGGTGCTATCTTTGAACTGAAATTAAGACATAAGTGCTAAAATCATTGATTTATGTAACAAAGCATACCTCCAAAAGAACATTTGATGTGTAAAATCAACACACAAATCAATTCTTAACAAGTAATTCAATAACCTCCTATAAGAAGATGAAGGCAAGAATTTAAATATCACATAGAATCTACCACAATATAGAAGTAGCACTACTTTTTAAATCAAATTGCACTAGAATTGAACACAAATTAGTTTTTGGACGAATTTCTTTAAACCCTTCACATATCCAATTGTAAGATAAGAATATAATACAAATTGGCTTCTGACTAATAATGCCCACCCATCCAACAGATACATACTATTGCAATCTAATAGAGACAAGATTAGTGATCCTCTCTCTTTCTCTCTCTTTCTTTTTTTGCCTTGATTTTGTTTGGCCTAAGTTTATTATATTATCCACTTTTTTGTTTCAAAATTTTAAATTATTCTATGTGTAACTTCTTTTAATCTCGATACTTGGATCTTCATAACAAAGGCATGTGGTGCATTTGTGGGCAACTAGAGATAGGTACATTCTTATCATTATCATCATTATTTAGCACAATTGCAACGTGGCCTCTTTGCCATGACTAATGATATACACATACAACCTCTTTTACAAAACTATCATGAATTTGAATTTTATTTTATTTTTATTTAGTGTTCAACAATGCTCTATGAGGAGAAGACAAAGGCAAGTAATTAAAGAGTGTATGGAATCCACCCCAACCACAAAAGTAGCACCTCTTTTCAAAGCCTCCATTAGAAGCTTTTGAGCCCTACTCACAGTGATCTTGGAATTCTATTCTTGACAATTTGCAACAACAATATACAAATCTTAATTTATAATTTATCAAAAGTTGAATTATTACTTCACTTTTAATGAAAACAATGAGATATATAGCCAATCAAAGATGTTTCCAATCAAATTGTAACTTCCAATTGAAAATTGTTAAAGATGTAAAACACTAATCATTCAAATGTTATCATACATGTAGAACTTCTACCAAATGTTGTTTTTGAAATCTGTTGTGGAAGTAGGACTGTCAACAACAGATTTCGTTTGTTGTTCGTTTTGGGGGTTTTATTTTTATTTTTTGGGATTTTTAAAGAGAGAAAGAAAGAAAGAAATTCCGCGGTTGGGAGTCTCTGAGATTGGAGAGACTGGTCATGGAGATTGAGGTTGCTGGATATGGCGTCACTGAGCTGATTTTAGTGCTGAGCGGAACGTAGGTGTGGGGAAGTCCTGCCTGCTGCTGCAATCCACGGACAAGAGGTTTCAGTCAATGCATGATCTGACCATTAGCGTGGAATTCAGAGCTCGTATGGTGACGATCGACAATAAGCCCATCAAGCTTCAAATTTGGAACACGATGCGTTTTCTTCTCTTGCCTCTCGCATAGTCATTGAGTGGAAAAAAAAAAACATGTTGGTTGTGCGATGGAATGGAAGGAAGTATTGGAGCTTAGTGGAGTAATTGTCCAGCTAACAGTCCGTGATGAATTCGTTGACATTAGTCTAACTGGATTAGTTGAGTTATCATGAGGCTCTTCTGGAAACATTGTAGGTTCACTTGACTTCGCTTTTGGTATAAAATTTACTCTCTTTATCGGTGTAACCTCTTGGAAACTTAGCTACATCGGAGGGACCACTGGTGGTCAGCACATAGGATCTTAAGTTTTACTGGAGGTGGTTTGCTTGCTTCGGTTTGTTTCGACGATTCTGGAGCACTTCTTTCTATTATTAAGGAGCTCCAAAACACTGGTTCTGAAGTTCTCTTATGGTAGGATTTAATTGTTTCATATGCCTGTAATACATTGCAATCTGGTTACCGTAGTTAGGAGTTGTCTGTAATGCAGGGTATGTTGGAATAAGTATGACACGTCATTCCTTCTATGATTCTTGTTGTGGTTGGCACAATTTGTGCATGTCGCAGTTCTTCGTCTTCAGCTGTCTTACTTCCGGCAATTGAAGATCCAATTAGAGCATAATTGGCACATTCGAGAGTGTATTAACATCTGAAGGTGGAGTCATAAAGTACTTGTGTTGACCAATTGAATCCTGAACTGACATTTTTCTACTCAGGCTGGCCAAGAATCGTTCTGGTCTATCACGAGATTGTATTACAAGGGTGCTGCAGGGGCTTCACTTGTCTATGACATCACCAGGTACTCGACTGGTGGCCATCTGGCTCAAAACGGTGGGTATTGATTGCATCAAAGTTCATTCCACCTCTAACTGTATAATATCAAGCTGATCTTTGTGCTGGTAATGCCCATTAAATATTGCAGGAGAAAAACCTTTAATCATCTGGCAAGCTGGTTGGAGGATGCTAGGCAACATGCCAACTCCAATATGACCATCATGTTAATAGGAAACAAATGTGACCTGGCTCCTAGAAGAGCAATCAGCACTGAAGAAGGTGAACAATTTGCCAAGGAGAATGGCCTGGTGTTCATGGAAACCTCCGCAAAAACGGCCCATAATGTTGAGGATGTAAGTTAAGCATAGCAGCCCTGACCTTTCTTCGCAGATCTCTATGTGTGCCACAAATAGGTGTTCGACTGACGCTCAACTTTTCTGATAAGGCATTCATCAAGACCGCAGCCACGATCTATCAGAAAATCGAGGAGGGAGTATTTGATGCTTCTGATGAGGTAAATTAATCTGCTCTGTCTTTACAATTCAGCATACAAATTCCTTGAAATTTATGTCTTCTTGTCCCCTATTTCCTAGTAAACATCCAGTTTTAATAGACGACGATATACCTAAAAATGATCAAGTTCAGCTGAGGCTCACTTATTGAATTTGTAGTCAATGGGTATGATGCCCCAATTTTCAATAAGTATTAGAAGGAGAAGTACTACAACAAAGAAATTGCTTACTGGTAGCATCTGAAATAGTAGAACCAAGGATCTTCAAATTGAAATTATCCTTATCTGCAAAAGTGATTCCGTGAGCGCGTTTCATGTCAATGGATTCTTCTTTGCTTTCATAGTGTGGACTGAAGTAAAATATAATTTTCTAGCAGTCTTTTGGTATTAAGGTTGGGTACGGAGGGATTCCTGGTACTGGCACTGGATCTGCAGGCGGTGGTGCCGCTGTCCAAAGAAGTGTATGCTGCAGTTGAATACACACCGGGAGGACCTAGCTGTTCAATATTTAAGTTTCGTTCCAGGGATGAGTCAGTTAAAGCTCATGGAAGAACCTATTTTTTTTACTTTAGAGCCATTGCTCCATATTGCCCTATCATACGTAATTCCCTCAGCTATTCATACCCTGATTCATTCTGGTAACACGCGCTTGGACTGCTTGAACAAAAACTCTTTCAGTTGATTCATAGGTGGTGGATGTAGTGTTTTGGTTTCTCAGCTCACTACTTCATCGCTCTTGTGATGTGTCCTCGAAAACGATCAGGTCTATCACTGGGTCTTATCAATGTTAGAAGTACCGTGACCTGGCTGCCCATTGCATTTGCCTCTACGAAAAGCACATACGAAGGGTCTCATCCGTCGCAGCTGGGGTGAAATCATTAATTGAATCGTTCTCAACCGTTCCTCTGTGAATTTGAGTGCCGCTTTCATAGGTTTTTGAATAAGGTTGTGGCACAACCGATGTATGTTTGCTTACAAGATTTGTAATGAAATTCGTGGGCAGACTTTAGCTTTTTAGAGCTATGCGTTTTATGTTTTATGTTTCATGATTTTTTTTTTTTTTTTTTTTTTTTTTTTTTTTCACACGGGACTCACTTCACTGGTAATCACTAATGATGAGCCAAGAATTGTAATTTCAATTTTTAAAAAAACTGGGTGCTTTATGGAAGTGGTCCAGTCTGTTACTGCTGTAGAGTTTTCAAGGTTGTAGAAACGTCCAGTGAGCTGATTTGGTCTCAAGGTTTAAGTTTGGTCAGAATTATTGTGGAGATAGGGACAGATATTTAAGTAAATCCAACTTTCTGTACTTTATCAACTTGATTTGTATGGCAGTCAAATTAGTCTATTATCTGATGTATTATGTTGAAACTATACTTGGTTTCTACATTAACTTGTGAATGCTTATGAATTGCACTATTTCAAACACTGAAAACAAGAGGACTTAAAGAGGGGTGGGAATTATGCAGTGAGATTCTGCATTTTTTCTGAGAGGTACTTGATCGCTGCAAGGGTCACGGCGCAAATTGTTGGCATCTTGTTGTTGCAGAACTTGGTGGCAGTGTGGAAGTTTGGATCACTTAAAAGGACTTTTAGTGGCAAACTAAGCCAAGATTACAGTTTTTTAATTTTTTAATTTCTCATGGCTACCTACAGTGTATTAGATAGGGCAATGCAGCAGTAGATTTATTAGCAAACTAGGATCAGATTTGGTCTGGACATGGTGAAAGAAGACTTGACATGAATTCAGGAGGAGAAGATGACTTGTTCAAGGCAATGGGCAAGATGCAAAAGGAAGATCCACCACACCCCATTAAAACCAGATCTGGTAAGAATCTTCTTTTCAGATATGGTTGTAAGTTATATTGGATTTTTATTAAGAATAATTTTATATAAAATTACAATAGATGTAGAGATTTTTAGAGTTAAGATTGAGTTCTTACAAAAACATTGTGTTATATGCTTATTTTTTGTTGATAGGAAGTTCTAAACCTCTTCTCAATTTTTTTTCAAATCAAAGCATAGAGAGCTAAAAAAAGAAAAATGTAGGAATTTTTTTTGTTAACTAAGAATTTTGGAAGAAGCAATTTTTAATAGAAATCACTTTACAATGACACTATGCATAAGACACTACTATTATTTACACTTAGATCATTAAGTAGAGTATGCACTTTTTACTCTTAGAATCCATTGTTTGATCTTAAGATGATTTGGCACATACACAAGTCAATAGAAATGGAGGTAATTAAGATAATAATTTTGATCACACTTAGGAATATTTCAAATGAATTTAAAATGGCTATTGAACAAGTAATAATAAAGATTAATAAGGTAATTGGCATTGATTTCAAAAATATGAAAAGTAATAATTTTAGAAATTTTGTACTTTTAGATCTTAAAGAGGGATAATAATTCTAAGTTATAATAGCCAATTAAAGAAAAATAAAAAATCCATATATATATTATAATAATATTTTTATTTAATATTAATTTGGATTATGTATTAGTTGTTAGATCAAAGATTGCAATGCATTAAAAAAGATTAAAGAATTTAAATATATAGCTTCTTGATTTGTTTCTTTTTATCTTAATGATACTAATTAAATCTACAATGTATAGAAATCATAGATCTTGTAAGCTAATCATAAAAGAATATAGTTTGATTTCTCAATTTAGAAACAAGAAAAAAATGATAGTTTTACAATAGTGACTAACTAACAAAGTAGAAAGCATTATTAATAAAGACAAGAATAAAAAGATAAACTAATACTAGATATGTACTCTTTAAGAAAGTATTTTTATTTAGAAAAATCAAATGAAGTTATTTCAAAAGATTTTGGCACACTTACTAACAACATTGCCTTGATTGATGTACATTTTGTTGCATACACAGTAGTGTGTATTCATGTATCGTCACCAAATAAGGTTCTAAACTAGTATTTATGTGTAAACCAAGTCATAAGATATTAATTCAAAATTCTCAACTTAAATGCTATTGCAAGAAGATGGTATTAGATGATTGAGCCTTCACATGCATTATATTAAGTACTATACTAAAATTTAATTTTCTATTTAAATATATTTTTTTCTAAAAATAATATCTTTATATTATTAGTAGTGATATAGTAGATAGTTAGAATTCTAGTCTTACTTTCTAATTAGATATCATTTCTTTGTCTACATTTGATAATAATACTTTGGAATTAGTATATAAAATTGATCATAGGAACTAAATAGAATAATACTTTGAAGAGAGAATAAAGAAATAATATAGAAATTAAGGTATGAAGAGGCTTTAAATTAAAATTAATTAAAATTAATTAAAATATGACCTTAAAAAAGATATTACTAGTAAAGAGATGTACTTTTTAAATATATTATATTACTAAATTTTGATTTAAATAGTATAATATTAATAACACAAATCAAGACATTATTAGATTATAATTAAGATGACATCTTCTTCTTCACCTCCTATTATATAAGGTTACAAAATTAATTTGACTTCTCTTTACATCCAAAAACCATCAAGATTGCAAGAAGATTGCATTAAAGACCAACTTCCTTCCATTTTCTAATCTTTAAATGATAATTAAATTTCTAATTTGTATTTTTTGTAGAAAGTTATGTATTTATAATAAAAGAGATAAAAGTTGGTTGTTATTCTATATTCCTTCTTATTTTTATTATTGTAGCTATTTTAATCACATTGATTTTAATTTAAAAAAGAAGATTTGTAGCTTTATTTTTCAAGAAAAGGTATAAATATATGATTGAATTTGATTTTTTTATTTTTTATTTTATTAAAGAAATAATTTATTCTTAAAATAAATCACAAATACAAATTTTAATTTTGATTATTAAATATCATAAAAAAAATTTAGGATATTATTTTTATTTTATTATATTATGGCATTATTAGCATAGGATTTAGTACTTACTAAGATTTCTATTACTTACAACTCATACAAAAGGTTTTACAGAAATATGCTATTACATCTAAGAATCAAGTAAAAATAAACATATTCTTTTGGTATTTTTATATTTTCAAATAAAATAGAATTTTAAAAGTCAAAATCTACATAAAATCCTTCTTTATTATTATTTTAACTATAATAAAGAATATTCTCTATTTTTTAGAAGACTTGGTTAGAGAAAATTAAATATTATATTTTATAATATATATAGATTGAATGATCTACTAAAACTTCTTAAGTTAAAAATATTTATTTACAATATATTTTTTAGACACCATATCTTGTTTATTTAAAAGCATAAATTATGTGATATAAGGATTTAAGAATTAAAGAATATTCTTTTTCTAAAAATTAGTTTTTTATTACTTGAAATAGTCTCTAATTATGTAAATAATCAAAATAGTAGAAAAAATAGTTGAATTTGCATTCTAATATTTATATCATTAATGTGTCTTGTTGTTAGTATTGGCTTTTTATTATACAAAATAATACCTTGGATAATATATTTAGAAAATTTAAGAAAATTACTTGATATTATTAATGTTTATGATTCTAATAAGTATAAAGATAGAATCAAGACATAGTATAATTTGTTTGATACGCTTTCTAATGATATACCTTAGATTATAGGTGGCAATTGAAATATGAATAGAAGAACATATCATAAATCCTCTTGCCATAAAAGAATATTAAATACTTGACAAAAAAAATACATAGAAGTCGTTGAAGCCTTATTTCTTTAACCTTGGATATAAACTCAAATAATTTTAAGACAATCAAAGACATGAGATATATTTTCTTTATAAATTGAAATTATTTTATATAAGCTTAAATATTTTATTAGATAAAAATACCAATTTTTATAATATCAAAAGAAAATTTATTATATTTAGTCATTTTATAATAGAATTATCTACTCATTTACAAAATAAAATGCCTATGCACTCTTTTTATATGATATATATGTTTAATCTTAAGAATCTAACGATACTCAAGCAAGTATAAGCAATATGGACTAAGAATGGACATAGTGTATCTTTTATTGGAAAATTAAAATTATATTATTCAATTTTACAAATATTTTTATAAAAATCAAGTTTTTTAAAGATACAAATAATAATGGAAATATCCAAATGTGGTATTTGAAGCATACAAAAAAATTACAATTAGATCCAAAAAATAAAACCATTCAAATAAATTAATAATACACCTAAAAATAATATTTATTTTTGAAGCATAGAAAAAAAAATCCAAATAATTCACTTGTATATAATAAAAAAAATTTTGGTACTAGAAATTCAAAGAATTTTTTAATATCATAAAAAAAGACACCTCCAACTTCTTAGAGTTGCCTTTACTTCTTTTGTAATATTGTTTCTTGTAAAATTAGTATCTCAATAAATCAAAACTTGATTGTGTTACTTAACCTGAATGAACTTGAGCATATTATTAAAAAAAATAAAAATAATAATCATAATATAGTCCTATGACATGATAGTATAGAAATTGAATTCTATAAAAATACAATTAGAATATTATTGGCAAAGACTATCTTAGTATGCTTACTCATGTTCTTAAAATCAAATGATTTTCACAATGCTTTGTGAAATAAATTATTACTTCACTTTATAAAAGAGGTGAGAAAAAATATTGGGTAATTGGCATCCAATTATAATACTAAACATGCTTTATAATTATGATATCTTAATTATCTAAGAAACTATAATTGATCAAAGATCTCCAAAAAACCTCCGTTATTGTTCTTAAAGCCTAATGATAAAAAATCATGGAATTTGTTTTCTTATTTTCAAGCCATAGAAGAATTAGATCTCTTTATAACTTTTTGTAATATAATTGGTTTCTTTTTTCAAGAAATTAATAAAACAGCTCTCTCACCAA